AACTGTAATTTATTTCTGTGATGCGCAGCTGTATTTTCAGCATCATTACTCCAGTCTTCAGTGTCACATGTTCCTTCAGAAATCATTCTAATAAGCTGATTTGATGCTCAAGAAAAAAATAGCTCTTATTATTGTCAATGTTGAGAGTTGCGCTGCTTAATGTTTTTGTGAAAACCGTGATACTTCAGGATTTCAGGATTCTTTGATGAATAGAAAGTTCAAAAGAACAGCATCTATTTGAAACGGAAATCTTTTGTAACATTATAATTGTCTTTACCAACACTCTTGATCAATTTAATGCATTCTTGGTGAATAAAAGTTTTAATTGCTTATAAAACATCTTAATGACTCCACACATTGATTTAGATTATTGCACATTCATAAAATGTGAGTGGTGCATAAATACACACAGACACACACAAAAGGGAGAGAGTATTGATAGTTGACCATTGGAAGAACCTCATTACAAGGAATTGTCTTCTAAAATCTTCAGGTGGAGCTGAAATTGAGTTCATGATTCATGCTGTGTATGCAAATAAACGTGAATCAATTTTTCAAAACAACACTAAAATCTACCATTCAATTTAGTTACATTAAAATAAGATCCAGATCTGGTGAAAAATAACTGCATTTTCATAACCATGCTGAAAGACACTTCACATCAGGTGTAGCGCACACATTTGGATTCATGCAAATCTCACTGGTTGTCCTCAATATCTCCACACCCCTCTGACAACATCCTCAAACCTGCTTCACACCTAACTCTACCACTCCTGGGCTAATTCAACCATTCAGGCAAACAAAAGCCACAAACAGTCTTGTCTGGCTTCTCATCCATGTGGATTCTTGCTAGCTGGTGAGATAGGAGGCAAACTAGCAACGTATCGTGGCTTGGGGCTTGCCAAATATCAGGCACATTGATGCTGCCTCAGGGCTCTACTGCTTGGGCATAGACTCCACCCCACAGAGTCAACACCTCAGAGAGGACGTGAGAGACTCATCAGAAACTAGACAGAACACCTAAACGAACAGACACCCGCTCTCAAGGACAACCACGCCATCCAAACTGTTCCACTGTGGGACCATCATACGTTTCAGGAGGTCCACTGTGGACATATATCCATTGACGATACATCCAACATCCCAAACAACGAGTCTAAATACAGGTAAGGCTGCAACAATGTCACTAAGATTTCTAATGGCAACTGTTCTTATTGCTGTTCACATGTACTTTTAGCATTTGTAAAGGCTGAATTGCTGATGTACTTTGTAGCAGGTGTTTCAGGGGTAGCTCTAAATTGCTTACAACTGATGCACCTGTTACACTACATCGGGTAGAAAATGTTCTAATGTATTTGCCATGTGGTTGTACATGTAATATTCAGTCTATATCTTAATAACCAAAAAATTCCATTTAGAAATGTAAAGTCTTATATTATGCTGAAATCACAAGACATCGTTGTACCCAAAGAAGAATGACTAAGAACCAAGAAACAAGGAAACGAGATATACAACAGCAAAATGAAATACAAAAATACTCAAATTCTTTAAATTGTGCCTTGAGGAGGGAGCGGCTTCGTATGAAACATGGGAGCCAAAACCTGAGCCACCACTTCTTGCGACAGCCTGTGACAAACAGGTTCCTTAAGGCGGAGTCATTTTCTGCATAACTTGCCTAGCAATCTCTTTCGTCAATCTTCTGCTTCCCAATACAAACCTTCAGGCCCCAAAATCTTTGCACACTTACCGGACCATTATGTATCCTGATTGTTGTGCAGAATTGTAGAAGTAATTTCCTTCAAGCACTGAAGCAGTCCAATTGGTTGCAGATGTTATAACAGACGAAATTTCATTCTAATAGCTCTGGTAGCTTCTCTACATTTACAGTGTAAGTGAGATACATTTTTAAATGTCTGGAGTTTGTATCCTGCAGGTAAGGTCATGGGAAACAGGTGTATGTGGTTTCCCACGCCATCAGGTTTTGAAAAAGGGGAGCATGTTTCTACAGGCCTACTCTGGCTTCAGCAGTGCAGCTAGAGCATGTCATGCTAACACGCAGGCCAACAAACAATACAGAACAGAACAGCTACAGCCTAGTTAAAAAGTTAAGGGAAAGTGAGCATGCAAACTTTCGTTTTATTGGGTCACTAACCTTTCTGACCCAACAAACAGAAGACGCTCTGCTCCAGGGTGTGGCAAAACGGTTAATCTTTTTATTTTTTTTCTTTAAGGCTGACAAACCACGCAGTATTGGATTTGAACAACTGCACCAGTATGGACACTCTCCAGGGAAGAAAACCGAAGAAACCTCATTACATTCCCCGCCCTGCTGGCAAACCGTTCAAATATCAGTGTTTCCAATGTCCCTTCACCTGCAACATCAAGTCTCATCTCTTCAACCACATGAAGTATAACCTGTGCAAGAACTCCATCTCTCTGGTGTCTCAGCGCATGGAACAGACAGGGAAAACGCAGAGAACTTCCCAGCATAATTTTCCCTTCAACCACAAGAGTAAAGAGCCACCCCTGGAAGCTGAAGCCAGCAAACCTACAGAAAGGGTCAATGACAAGGTTGAACAAGAGGAGATGGGTAAAGGAACAAGAGAAAAGCCTGAAAGTCCCATCAAGGAGGTCACTAAAGATGTCCCTGAGCCAATCTGTGAGACCAGGGACAAAAATGGAGACATAGACATTGAACAGAACAAAATATCTTCAGCTTTCTCACCGGTTGCACGAACATGTGAAAGCGAAGCTCTATCTCGGTCTCCACACAAAGATGATCAATCATCTTCAGCCATTCCTCAGTTTTACCACCAAATGGCACCCTGGGTCCCACCTGCTTCCACAGCACCGCTTCTTCCTCTAATATCAGACTATCCGTCATACATGGTATCTGAGAGGTCCTTGCATTCTCTCTACACACCCTACTCACACAACCAAGCAAACACCCCAGCCTACCAACTTACACCTCGAGAGACCCAAAGACCTCTTGTTCCATCACCTTTGGTCCCACCTAGTACTTCCCTTCTCCATCCTTATCACTACAGATATGGCCATTCAATTATCCCTGGTCCACCTCTACCCTACAGCCTCTACCAACACCCTGAATTTTCCATGTCCTTACAGAGAACCAGGTATCTTCCTCTGGATGTGTACAGCAACAGATTTTATCCTCGAGAGTATGGAGGGCATCTAGTACCCCTACATCATCCTGATTCTTACAGCAGACTTCCTGAGGACAGGGCTTTCCAGGAGCACAATACAGTAGAAAAAGGTACTCGCCAGAGTCCTTTAGCAGGGTGTGCCGCCTCCGGGTCTCCAGACAGGCCTAGTACCGCAGATATCACCCAGCGGATCCCTGTTACACTCAGGCATGCTTCTCATGGGGAGTCATTCCCAGTTAGTAAATCACAGCATGTTGAACCAGCGGCAACTATAGCAACTGAAAACTTACCCAAGAAATCGTGTGGACAAACTCAAGAGAGCATGTTACAAAATAAAGAGAGGTAGGTAAACTCTATGCAGCTATGTAATGACACTTTACATCACAATCAAATAAAAGAATATCTTGTCAGGTTGCCCACAAGCAAGTTAATGATTACTCTACTCTTTACATATATTTACTTATCTTTTTAGGAATGAACCACAAACCACAGCTTCTGCAAGAAGCAGTGAGATTTCATCAGAAAAGGAAGACGAAGAAACCGAGGAAGAACCAGCTCCTCTTAACCTTTCAAAGAGGGACCGGGCCGTATCCAGCAACATGACACACCACTACCCTGACTGCGAGCTCCATTATGATTCAGAAAGTAGTCAAGAAGAAGCACCGCTCAACCTCTGCCTCAGGGTTCAGTCCAACAACCTAGCCTTGCCCAACACCACAGGCTCTGATACTCCAGAAAGACAAACCATTATAAATGCTGAGGTATGCACAATTGTTCCACCCAGAGAACAAGAAATAGACCCATGTGACCAGAGGCACTCTGCTGCCTTCGCTCTGTGTCAGCTAGCTAGCTCAAAGGACATTATCATTGACTCCTCTATTGGCCAACAAGAAATGACTGAGGGCCAGAACAGTCAAAGTCTTCCTCCCCCAGACAAGAGCCCAGTCAAAGACACTCCAGACACACCAAAACAGAGCACACTGGGACAAAAACGGGTAAACAATAGACCTCCGAAGCACACTACCAAAAGAGCAAAGGTCAAAGAACCTGCTCGAACTCAAAGAAAGCGGTCACAAAACTGCTGATTCAGAGATCCCAAAGTGTGGACTGCTGCGATTCAGACAGAAACGAGCTCCAGTGAAAAGATCAATACTCAAGAGACTTTACAGGAAGACCGCCAACATCTACATTAAAGTCTTCAAATATTATTCTATTTATGTCTGTAAAATTGCTTGTCATTAGTGTTCAAAGGTCATGGGATCAATTCCAAGGGTACGCATGAACTGGCAACTTTAATGTAAGCTGCTTTGGACAAAAGCATTTGCTTAATGCATACATGTAAATATACTGTAGATAATTCCAAAATATTCTTAGTGTATAACATTAAGCACTGATTGGAAGAAAAATGGCAGCCCAGATTGTACACTGAGAATCTTGTGTGCTTTGAGAAAACATGTAACAGATCATTAAAGGGTGGTGGCATTTAAAAAAATAAATAAAGGATCTTGTTAAACTTGAAGTATTTGAATTAAGTGTTTGCATAAAGTGAATTATGTTTGCTTATAAATGTTTTTGAAACATGAGTATGGTGTAGGGGAGGTACAATGATTATAGCTATAATATTACAATTTATGTCAGCGGAAAAGAAAATCCAGTAGCTTTCAAACTGAATTAAAAAAAATAAATAAAAAAAATAAATAAAAACATAAAATACAAGCCAACCATCTGAGAGACGGGAAGGAAGCAGCAGTCCTCTTCGGCCAAGCTCTGCAAGAGCCAAGCAGCCTCCATGCCAGGCATTATCTGTTTCCTGAAAACTATAAAATGTGAAGACATAAAAAGTAATTGAAAAATACCTCACCAAGTATTTGAAAACACATCATAACATCTCTACCTCCTTTTATATCATGACGCACCTGAAACACTCTAAAACAGACTCAACCACATCATCTGCAAGCTGTTTAGGTAGTCTACCAGTTACCCTTCCAATCCTGTAGGTGGTTAAAAAGAGAAAGACCAGTTAAACAAAGAATAGAACTCTAGGGATTATTACAGAGAAATATGGCATTAAAATATAGCACTATCACACCTAGACCAGATAACTGTTCTCACCCCTTGGCAGAAGACCATCTCACTATTGTCTCTTTGTCTTTCAGTCCCACCAACAGTTGTTCTGCAACAATGAATAAGCAAATTAGCAGTACATGAGAGCATTTAATAATTGAGCAAATAAAACAAACAGATATGAAAATGTGCATGAATACTTACCAATGATATTTTCTACCTCCTCAGGTATGTCATAGTCTTCCTCCTGACTGACAGACTCTAGATCAGGTTTTGTAGCCTCTACACTTTCAGTGACAGAAGACTGGGCCAGGTTCACTGCGAGTGACCGACTTCCTCTCTGGTATCTAGATGTAGTCATACAAAATGCTTACAAACTAGCTAATACTTCTAAGCATCCTTTGTTTCATTTCATCATATTTTGTCAATACGCCGTCACTCCTCAATTACCTCCATTTGGCCAAACGTGGTTTTAGAAAGGTCAAGCCAAGTCTCTGGACCACTTTTACACCCAGCTTACGCAATGTGGCCTGGTTACTCTCCGCTATTCTCTTCTGATTCAGGCACTGAAGCACTGTTGGGGCTTCGAACGGTCCGGTAAAGATTAGTAAGCATTTATCTATGTTCTGGTTTTATAGAGACCAAAGAAAGACCTAAAGGACATATACATACCATATTGCAGGAAATCATCACGTTTCCCATGCTTGAAGAGCTGGGCCTGGTGAGAAATAAAATATTTATTAAAAAACTAAATATTGATGAGATTATTTTCAATTATTTTAAACATTTTATCAAAATCTAAAAAACCCTGCGGTACACATACCCCTAGGTGGTAAATAATGAACTACCCTAACGACCGACTTGAAATCTGAGCGATACTTTATCTATACTGTATATCATCAAGTTGATATTAAGCCAAATTTATTAAACCCATTTTCAACATGTCCGAATCCCATTAATCTTAGTGCCAGCAGCAGTTTCATGTAATTATCAAGTTTAAAAGTGCAACGCACATGTTCCTGCTCACAGCCTTATGGCACTTAAAGCATATATGCAAAACACTGATGGCAGTTTTAGCACCCCAGGCATTCTCAGCACACAGAGCCAGTTTTGAGCGCCTCGGGTGATAGAGACGCGCTTCACAAAAGAATAACAGCAGCAGGATCGTTTTCACAGCTCTCTGGACTTTAAACCATGCATGATGTTTCATTGCAAAGAAACTAATTCTGATAAAGATCAGTCACTGCAATGAGCGATTACAGCAGTGTAAAAAAAAATACAGGTAGGCTTTAGCAGGTATCGCCAGCAAATATGTGCAGCTACTAAACAAGTGCAGGAATTACAGGCCTAAAGGAGGCCCATTCACACCTAGAACAATGACTATAAAGATAACTATATTAACATCTACTGCAAATGACAATAATATTCTGTTTATTATTGCCAAGCATTTGAATGTTCAATATTTTCATTCTCCTGAAAAGAAAAGGAGAAAGTGGAGAACATAAACAGTCCTACATGTGACTGGAGGCTCACCAGAGATTGCAAAGCTCCATCAAGGGTCACAGTTCCCTCCATGGTAATCTCACTGGTCTGAGAGATGGTTGTCAGACACCAGTCCAGAAAATCACCCAGACGCTTCTGCTTCACATCTGGACGAGTCACAAACCTGTGCAGATAATACAAATCCTTCAAGCAAAGAAATTATCTAAAAGTGTTTAAACAGTGCCCTCTACTGGTCAGGGAGTAAAGCTGTCAATATTTTGCAATAAACACCACTTTTGGATATCATAAGGGTGCAAATAATTTCTATAACATACGAAAACTACGCTGGGCGAAATATTATTATTATTTTTTTTTATCAGAATTTTAACTAAACAGCCATTTAAACAAGTGGATTCAACATGATAGATAAATAAATAAATAAACAAATAAATGAATGAATGAATAAATAAATAAATACAAATTTAAGTGTAAAACTCAAATGAATCCAAGGAAGAACAATATTTATTCATGTTTATCTATATGCACCAATATACTGTACATTAGTAGACTAAAGTACTAAACAACAAAATTGATCTGCTTATACATTTTACTAAAACATTTTATTATATGAAGACTTATGACTGATGATGCAAATGAGTCACTTAATCAGTGTTTGGAATATATAATCAGTTTGAAATGATTCATGAAAGAGAATTGAATTGAACCAGCTCAAAGGCTGTATTGTCTACTGAAGTATAATAAGAGGCATTTTTAAATCATTTTAGTCTTAACCCTCTCATTCTGGTAAGACACAGAAGCATGGTGGATACTGTCTAATGAGACACTCTTTAGAAAATGAAAGGCCAAAAAAAAAAAAGTGTTAGGTTTACACTGTTGCTTAATTTTATATTAATTTTGCCAGGCAAAACATTTAATTATTTGACATATTGCCCAGTGTTACAGAGATAATAAACACACATATAGGGGAAAGAACACATAACATGTAACTTACTTCGATACCAGCACTGATGCAGCATCTCGAGATTTGTCACTCACTCTGAGAAAGGACTGCAGCAAAAATAATTAATGACACATAGCTAACGACAAGTATAAGTTTAAAAAATATGATTTGCAAAACTGACAATAAATTAATAAAAAAAAAAAAAATAATGCTTACTAATTTGACTCATTGACATACAATACAAATGTTGACAAGTCTATGAGTGGTCTGTGATTGTGGGTGTTACCTTGGCAACAGCCAGAATCCGATCCATGATGGACTCTCTGTTCAGCCCGGGGTCAGTGGACAGGTGGCCGTCCAGACGGGACAAGTCAAAGGGAATGAGACATGTCATGGAGAGCCAGAGGAGGAGTATGTAGCGTGTTTCCCAGGTCTAATACAGAAACATACAGTCACTACCTAGATGATCTTGTGCTTTTGGAAGGTTAAATTACAAATAACACACATGGATGCTATTTTTCCAGATGTGATAAATGGTGACCTGCTGCAACTACTTACTACCTGAAGCTATTCACTGAGGATTTCTTGGAAGGACTTCCAAGAAGGGTTTTATGACTGTTTTTTGGTGCAAAAAAACTTACCAAGTCCCCCTGCAGTCAATATTGTTATCCCTTAAAACTCACATTTGATAATAAAATGACACATTTAAACATTTTTTTCACTAAAAAGCTGTCACTCATCTTAGTTCATCGTGATCTCACAAACTAAGTAGTAGTGGCTGGGATAGATTTTAAATATCAATTCCACTTAAAAAGATGCAATCTTATCCTGTTTACATGAAATAAGCCTGCTCACGAGCAGGTTTAAGATTATGGACCTGACGTATGAAGAACGGGCCCCAGGTCTGGTATAAAGAATGTTTTTGCTCAGGTAGCCGAAATGTCCACCCAATAGAGAGTTTGCTCAGAAAAAAAAATACAAAATTTAGAGGGAACATGGACCACAGGGAGTCTAACTAACATTATAAGTGAAATTTAGGGGGAAATTCAAATTTATGATCTGACCTGTGTAAGAACTCTAGACATTAATTTAGCTTGTATGATTATGTGTTACACTGTGGGGCTCATTACAGAGCCTACGATAAGTAACCTCAGTGTCTTTTGGGTCCTGTCTGCATAAAAGGTCCAGAACGGGCTGAACATCTGACACCTCATGGGGGAACAGCTGCATGAAGATCTTATAGCCTCTGACCTGCGGAAGCACCAGGAATCACAAAATCAAGACACAAACCCACAAATCACTCTTTCTGTGATTTCAGAGAGATTATCAGTCAAACTTAGAGAGCTGTACACCATCTTGCCTTTGAGATGATGTAGAGAAATTTGAAACAGAGATGGACCATTAGAGGTGGCGACTTCTCACTGCGGATCATCTCCAAGAGCATGTTCAGCATCCACTCTGCACAACAGCAAATACAGCGTTACTAACAGTGTTCAATCACAGAGCACATTCATCATGCCCATCACATTCATCGCTTTAACTTACCTAAGTGAGGATCCAGAAGATGTGGCTGTTCTTGGTAGCGATCCATGATAACTGCAAAAAGTTACCCAACGCACAGCTTGACATTTTAAACATGTCATCTTGTATTTTCTTATATCATCTTATACAGTATATTGCGCGCACACAAAAATTATACAAACAGACATCAACATACTCTTTTGCATTTCAATAAACAATAGCCAAGTAGATAGAGACAGACAGACAGACAGACAGACAGACAGA